GGGGGGTTCGGGGTGATGGACCCTTTTTTTAATAAAAAAAAAAAATTTTTTTTTGGGGGAACTTCCAACAGGGGGGTTTTTTAGGAGAAATCCCCCCGGGTGGGGGAACAATTGTTTAAAGAATTCGGCCACCCCGGATTAGGGGACCCCCCCCCCCCCCCCCCCCCAACACACACAGGTGGCCTACGATGCCGAATTCGAGCCGGTGATGTCGTGCGTTATTGACATGGCGATGCAGTACTGCGATGTCGAGGGCGTCAAAGAGTCAGATCCATGGTGCAGCACACTAGAGGTAAGCGGGCCGGCCAGCCAGCCAGCCAACCGACAGCAATCATTCCGCGCGTCTGCTGTCTGCTGTCTGTACCCATCCGGAAGATATGGAAGTATGTGAGCCTATGCCCCACACCCATTGCGATCGATTTGGTGTTGGGAGACGCCACCACAGTAGTACGACATTGCTGCGTATGATGGCCTGCACCATGTGTTTTCGGTGGATCTGCTGCTGCTGCTGCTGCCGCTCTTGGATATATGCCGTTTGTTGTTTACGACTGTAGACCACCTCGTGCTGAAAAGGAGGTGGAAGGGGGGGATTGTTGCATCTTGTGTGCTTTGCAACGGAACACTCCTTGTGCGTTACCTCGCACGTGTTGTCGTGTGCTGACCCCCTCCTGTTTCCGCAACAACAACAGTCCTGTATTGCCACGGAGTTCGTGGGAGACGAGTGCTGGCCCTCCAGCTGCCCTTTCCAGGAAGGGGGGTGCCAGATTACAAGCTTCTGCCTCACACCAGAGATGTTCGACGTGAGTAAGCGCGTAAGTATCGGTCCATAGGGCCATGTGCCACCATTAGAGTCGTTGCGATAGGTTGTAGCTGTACCGAGGGGTCTGGCGGATTTCGCCGCCCCGCTCAATAAATCGATTCCCAAGATACGCGGTATGTAGTACTCAACATTCGTGGGAGGTAGCAATTTAGGACGATGGAATATTCGGTGCTGTTGCGAAATTTCTGAAATAGAAGTAGGAAGAAACTTCGCCTGCGTATTGAATGATGCGGACAGTTCCAGCCCTGGGTGCATGTGCAAAGCTACCCTCTCACCCGAGCCGTCTCTTGTCTTAAAAAGCTAAAAGCCCTATCAAATGACCCATGCTGGGGATCGTAGACAACAGCTGGCGGGAGGGAGCATGGTAAACGGGGCACGAAAAGGAGGCATTCTTCAAGATATTCCTCTATCGAGAAAGCGAGACATTCTAACCAAGGCTCTAGGTTGCCCGTTGCCTTCTTTCGTCGGTGGGCGAGGTTGCTTCTTCCGCGCTTCTGCTCCTACTGTAGTAGGTAGCGCTTTTCACCCAAGCACAAACAGACGCGGTGCAACTTTGCCGTTGACCCTACCTGCGGTATCGTCCCGCAACACTACCTGCCAGTACTCCTTATTCCTCCCCTCTACAAAGCACCCACACTAGACTATAGTTGTCCCTGTGTACCCCGGCAACCTCCCTTGTCGAGAGAGGAGTCCAAAGGTGGAGACAGGCATGCTGGTAAAAGTGAGCTAAAACAGGTCAAGAGGATGGGGGCCTAAAAGTCGTTCTTGGCCCTCAAGGGGGGGTAAGTGTAGCTGGCTAATGGTTCGGTACAGAGAGAGAGGGCGTAGTACTCGATTCGTGTCATCCGACAACAAATCGATCGCAATGATCAACGAACGCGTTGCTGCGTCATGAAACAAAGGCGAACGAAAGAGTGCTCGTGGAAGTAGCGCCCGGAGCGAACCCGAGCGGACAGACCACGACTGCTCAACAGGTGAACAACTTACTGCTGTGTGCATCATCATGGGTGGAACATACACACGGGATGACAAAAAAGAACCCTGCAAAAACAAGACTAAAATTTGTACAAGTATTTTTTATTTTTGGATACGCGAACAGAGGGGCGGACGTGATGTGAGAGAGAGTCACATCCATGTATGTACACGAAATACATGCATATAGCCCTGTGTGCCATGCGCCTCAACTTAGATACCCGAAAACAGCTACAGACCGTAGAGGAGTGGAAGAGACGAATCCTGCTTCGCGGTTAAACCCCTTTTTCGATTGCTCACTCGCACCTCACGCCCGCCTCACGTCTCACCCTAACTTGATACCTTGACCCCTTTCGGTTGTTCTTTTAATAGGCCTACATGCAGCTCACCGATGAACATGACACAGCAGCAACAGCGGAGGAGGCGGGCGAAGGGGGGGGGGCGGGCTGGGCAGAGGCCGGTGCAGAAACGGGGACGGCAGCCGCGGCCGCCGAGCAGGCGGCGGCGGCGGCGGCGGCGGCTGCTGCTGCCGAGGGGGCAGAAGCAGCAGCCCCAGGCCTGCCGCCCTTCTTCGGGAGGCCCGCCGGTTCTCAGGGGGGTGGTGGCGGGGGGGTGGACAGGAAGTCGGACGAGAGAGGGGGAGAAGCTGTGGCGGTGTAGAGTTGGGCGACAAGGGGATGGCCGCCGGCTGGGCGGCTTTTTCGAACCGACCGTCCCCGCTACGGTTGAGCGAACAATCATTATCCGCAACCCCAATGTTGGACAGGAGTGGATCTCCTGGACCTTGTTATTTGGGCGGCGTTGATGCAGTCCGTCTGTCTTGCGAGGGGGTAGCTGCAGGGTTCTCGCACCGTGGAGAAATTCTGACTGGAGTGGGCCCCCACCACTAAGCTTGTGTTCCTGCGAGTCACAAATCACACCCAATAGCCTAACGTGAACGATAAAGTTATTGCCCTGTTGGGGGCCGTGGATTTGGCGGAGTTCCGTGTTGTTCTCACGCGTAGATAGGGTACAAGTGCTGTTACAAGAAGGATGGGTCACGACTTTTGGCTCTTGCGCACTCTCAGAGGTACCATCTATACAGTCACAAGGCATCCCGGTACTCTGCTATGGTAACAGATGGTATGTCTCGAGTTGCGCCCCATTTTTCAAGGCGCAGGAGCTCTACGATATCGTAGTAGAGTAGTACGATGATGCTCTCGTGCGTGGCGCCCCTGAAATCACGTTTGTACCGGAAGGGTCGAGCGGTTCGTCGTTTTTGTCCGCTCGGCCCTCAGTCGCAATAGTTGGAAAATTTGTTTGTTCGTTGAGTGCGAGCGTGCCGTGATTCATGCCCAATAGACCAATCGGTGAGAGAGTTGATGGGCTACCCGGAGAAGAAGCGCTCTCTGTCTCGCTCTTGGCTGAAGTTGGAAAGCGGCGATGTTTTTAGGTGCTCGAATGCTTGAGGCGGACTGCAGTTCTCTGCAAGGCATGAAGCGCCGGTTTGAAGTTTTTTATGTGTTTGTGGGGTGTAGAAGATGATGATCAAGGTGACCTTTGTCCATCCAGTGGCAAGGGCTCTATGCTTGTTACGAGACTCATGCTGACTTACATGTTGTCGCGAGAGAGAACTGGTGTACTTGTGCGATTGTCGATTCCAGGCTCACGTCCGGACGTTTTTCGTGTGAGGCTTGATAGCAGATTGGCTCCAACCAAAACCATTTGTCCTGCGGTTAAACTTGATTGATCGAAGTCGTGTCGTGTTTCAATTGATAGAAAATTGTTGGCGAGTGAGGAAAGATGTCACTCTTCTTTCCAACAACCTGTCGAAAGCGTTTCATGAAAAGTTACCACCGGGGTAGCTACAATGACGTCTAACAAGAGAAACACGCCTTGAGCTGCGAGCCACACGGCGTCAAGAGAACCTATGGCGTGTCTACGCCGTCCGCATTCCTCGCGAGGCCCGGTCTATGGGCCCCTCGACTCTCTACCCAATCTTTTGTTTTGGCCATCACTACAGTAAGTTCCAACCAGTTTCCCACCACGCTGGCCCAAAAATAGGCTCGTGTACAAGTCTGAGGTACTTTTGCAGTGGTTTGCAACACTCCCACCCGCCAAAAGGCAAACCCCAAAGATACGTCGAAACCTTTCCAATCGCCCTAGATACCTTTCCCAGACAGTTTTTCACCTACTCTTACTCCAAGTGATTCTTCGTCACACTGGTTTAGGTTGTATCACCACACCTCAACTCCAGAAAGTCATTTTTTCTCCAACTCCTGCCAAGGCAGTACCTTGTGTACATACAGTTATCTATTACAGGGAGCCAAGATACAACACCACCCAGGGAGAGACCTGCCGTGCTTACGCCACAGACCCCGATGACGCCTTTCCCGTGATCCCTCTCACACGGCTCTCGGCCGCAGTGTATCGAAGGCACAAACGACCACTTCGTGTCAAGAAAAAGAGTCAGCCTACACCCGCACAAACACTAGCAAAGCCTGTTTCCGGCTGCCACGAGGTCTGTCCTGTACCTTTTGTGACGCAAAAACGGCTGATCACACGTGTGCCTTGTATGTGTTTTCGTCCATCCCACACCCAAAAAATTGAGAGGGAGAAGTTGAATACGCGTTCCCCGCTCGTCGGCCTCACGAAACGGTTTACCCAACCAAAATGGCCATGGCATCGTCCCCCACGGCCTCAGGTTCAGGAACGCCTAAGGCGCTTGGCTCCTCTCGCTGTACCCTCCCCGCCCTCCTGTTCCTCCGCTTCCGGTGCACCCCTACCACCGCCGTTGAGGAGCGCGTGTTCCATCTGCACGAGCTTCAAGTCCCCTAGGGAGAGCCGACAAGGATCAGCTTCTTCGCCGCTACCGCCGTCGCCAGCGGCGGGGGTACCAGAGGCGGCAGCGGACGCATCCGCACCTGCATCCGCAGCAGCCGCTGCTGCTCGCAAGAGCGCCTCCGCTCCTTCCGCCGACGTGCAATCGACGACCCCGGACGTGTCGTCCATCCAGTGGAACCACGAATCTACGCACCCGTCGACCGCCTTGATTGATGCCAGAACCGCGTCTGTGCGAGCGGCGGACGGGAAGCCCGACACGTGAACGTAACGGCTGAGATCCACCTTTGGCGCCGGGCCAGGTAGGCACACCTGCTGCCCCCCGACCTGTTCGGCGGCGCGGAGTTTTGCAACAAAAAACGGCGGACGGCGGCGGGCGGGCGGAGAGCGCTTACGCTTTGGAGCCGGAGGCGAGACTGCTGCTTGTTTTTTCGCGGCGAAGAAGGCTGCAGGAGAGGCACACAATGTCATTCATCACTGTATGCCGAGAATGCAGGCGGTCATCCTTGAAGCTGACCCTGGTCGTCATTTACGCTGGTGTTGGTGCGACGCAGTCAACCCCGCACACTGCGGCCGGAAATGCACCACACGCCCTTTCCTGCAAGCATCGCAACGGCAGTCACGCGTAATCCCTTCTAACGAATTATCCTTCTTGCCGCTAACGCCCCCCCCTCCCTCCCCATTCTCCATCTCTCTCTCGCACACAAGGTGTGTCGCGTTTCTCATCCCGCTATCTACCACACTGACGGATTATCGTCGGCCAGTCGGGTAGCGCGGCTAACTCAACGAAACACGCAAGACACACGCACCCACGCACTCTCACTCACCACCTTATATAGCGGCAAGACGTTTTGCGCTGAACCCAGCGCCGCAGGCGTCTCCTCTCCAGACGCCATCCTTTTCAGCTCATCCAACCCGACCCCGAGCCCAACGGTGGCCGCTGCCGCGAAGCAGCAACCAGTCTGTCCCGAAAGTACAAGGGCCGATTCGGAAGAGGACGGTAAGGCAGCAGTGGCTTTGCGTAGTTGAAAATGCGTACTTTCTCTTCAGTTGCATGAAAGGAGACCCAGCTCAGCGTAAAACACAAACCCGTCCTCGAGGGCGCATTGGGAACATTCTCAGAGGTTCCCGGAAAGGAAGAAGAAATAAATACGTTTTCACCATCGGTTGAACGTGCCGCTTCTCTTCTCGAAACACAAGGCCGGCGATATCGTGGCCCCAGTCGGCGGCCTCTCTTTCTCACCAGGTAGGCGTCGAAACCAGCCTCGTGCTCCCGCCCACCGTCCTTGTAGCGCTCCTCGAACCCCGGCGCTAGCACGGCATCCCAGCCCCGCCTTGCGCGCTCCAACGCCTCCACGTCTCGCTCCGACGCCGCGGCCTCTGCCCCCGCCTCCACCGGTGGTACTGCCCCTGCCCCTGCCGCCGCCGCCGCCGCCCCCTCTCCGTTCGTCTTACTATCGCCGTTCGCCTCCCCCCCGGAGGTCGTCGCCACCACTGCCGTCCCGTCGACTTGTTGCCCCTCCTCCGCCGCGCCCTCCGCCGGTTCCATTCCCGCCTCGGCCCCCTCCTCCAGCGGCGGCGGCGGCGGCGGTGGTGCGGGGTACTTCTCGCGGAGCCACTGGTGCGCCTCCCCGAGAACCGTGCGCGGGAGCTTCATCCCCGCCGCCATGGCCTTCGCCATGACCACCTTGCTGTCGAACAGCCGCGGCAGGAGGGAGTGGAGGGCCCGCGTGCCATCGTCCATGTCGACCGGAATGGGACCGACGAACTTGTCATGCGTGTGAAGGAGGTCCTGTGGCAACGTAGTATAGCGCGGGAGGGAGAGCGGGACTGCTCGGTGTTTGTACAGTGGGGGGGCGGCGGGGCGGGGGGGATGAGGAGGGGGGGGTGCATGTTCGTTCCGAACGTCGCGTGGGAAGCCGAGAGAGGCAAGAGGGCGACGGGATTGTAGGGGTTGTTACACGCCTATCACGCGGTTTTGGGGGTTTCGGAGTTGGCGTATGGACGCAACAAGGGGGACGGAGGAAAAAGGAAAACACCAATAAGGCGATACAACAACCGTACAGTGTAGCATACGCAATGTCATGCTAGAGGCTAGGGGTGAAAAACGTGTGCCGTCGAGAATTTGTCTCCGCTTGTGGTCTGTGCCAGTCGTGCACCACCTTAAATACCCTGTGCCCAGAGCATACGAGGAGTACGGAGAAACATCCGAGAGCACGGCTAGGCTCGCCACGCGTGCAACGGTACTGGTGCAGGTGTGCGTTCGATTTGACGCGCGCGCAAACATGGAAATGGAACTAAGCCGCCGAAACCACAGAAAAGCACACCCTCGACATCGAAAAGGCAAACACCAATAAACAAAATCCGGACGAACTGGACGGGTAGAAGCAGATCAAGAGCCAAGGACGTTCACTCCCTCCTGCCCTGTGCACTCCTATGCACCACCGCTCGGCCGGCCGGCCGCCTCTTCTGCTACCCCACTCTGCCCATCGGCAACGCAAAACAGAGACCAATGCTGAGAGGCGGGCAGGCGACACGACGCGCGCACCAGCAGTCCGTTGTGGCAGATGACCGGCTTCCCGGCCTTGGAGATCTCGTCGACCACCCGGCGGAAGCCCACCGCTCTCCGCAGGTCGCCCAGCTGCCTCGCCTGCTCGTCGGCGCGGAGCTTGGCCTCCTCCTCCGCGTGCTTTTCGGGGTCGTCCTTGCAGACGGTCCGGATCTGAGGTTTTGGTTGGTGTCAAGGGGAGAGACCAACCAACACACAGAGGTCAGCGTTCCGCACTCCACGTCCATGTTCTGACGCCGTTTGTGCACCAGTGAGTGCTAACGTTGGAAAGGGGGGGTAACACTACCAACAACGCTGCTGCTGCTGCTGCTGCTGGCGTCGTGATCCTCTGTGCAAACACGGGAAACGGCGACATAATATTGCCAAAAACAAAATCGGGAAAAACTACAGCCGGGGGCCAACGTGCCGCGAATCGTTCCGGCTCAAGGTTGCTGGATGAGGGAAGGCCCTGCGGCCCGCTCGGCTGAGATCATGCTGAAGCTCTCAAGTTTCACCATATTCAAAGGTACAGCACTACGGTAGGCATGGTGCACACACCACCGAGCGGTGTCCGAAAGCGGCACCTATGGGACACACCTAAGGCGAAGGAGCGGCATGCCATCATTTATTCATGTTTTTGTTCGTCTTCACTTAAAATCAGCGCTCACAGCATTTGTATATTTTACTCCAATCCGTTGTCACACAGAAGGGTCCCTCTTGCCTGAGGCCCCCTACCCACCCCTCCTACGGTATCTACTTTGCCTTCGATTTTTAATGCGAGAAGAGTGCAGCACTCTCTTCCCCTCTGTGTACGCACGAACTACAGTAGCGCTTTCCACCCAGGCCAGGAACGGAAAGCCTTGAGAAAAACTCACTTTGCGAGAAAATCTCGCTTATGCCGGGATTCGAACCCCTGACCCTGGCCGCTAGAAGGTTTTCGAGGATACCATCTAGACCACCGGGGGGACCGGCAATGAAGTAGGTAAAAAAAAACGTGAAGCAGAACCTTTGATTCTTGACACCGACGCCTACGTGCGTTGGCTGTACAATATGATACGCCGATTCTCCAGCGGCTCACCTCCATCGGCCTTGCGTAGGCGGGTCCCGGCAAGTTGGACAGCTTGACGTCGGCCGTGCTCGACCCCACGAACTCGTACATGAGCCACCGCTGCCTCCCGTTCATGGGTTCGAGCTTGACGGATTTCTGGACGTACTCGCCCCCGCTGGACGATTCCGCGAGGAGCGCCTCTACCTTCACAGAGGAGGGGCAAGAAAATACGTGCGAGGAGTGGGCACACGTAACACAGGTGGCCTTCGCAGTTAGCGAAGACAAACACGAAAAGTGTGCGCATCATATCATGGGCAAGAAAAGAGAGGGTTGTCGCGTCATCAGTAGCTAAGCATTAATCGGCACGCGCGACTAGAGGCCGCACATGCTCGGCGATGACTCCGCCAAGAGAGCTGCAAAAAGTTGTTACGGGTTGAATGAATCAGCTTCCTGTAGCTCGAGCTGTCAGCTCTTGTTGAGAGCTGCTCCCCTAATGATATGTATCATAACGCAACGGCCATTTTTCAGAATCTCCAAGCGTAGTCGGTCAGCTTTGACGACCTGGCTGGAGGATGGAAACAATACCAGGCAGGAGGGAGAGCGACATAAAGCCATGGCCAAAACGTTTTCTCTGATGAATGTTGCAGACGTCATTGCGGGATCCACCCCTTGACCACAACCCCTTGCCAGATTCAACATAACAATGGCAGTCGGCATCTTGCTCTCCGGCTGCTTTGACAAAAACCATCTCTCGTACCTCTACGATAGGGCCTTACGCCCCTCTGTCGTGTGCCAAGCAGCTGCCGTTGACTTGCTCACTACGGCAGTGCCATGGTTACGGCGGTTTGAACATGAAAAACAAAATGGGTTCGTTCGTGCGCACCGACAAGCCACACTGTCGAGAAGTCCGAATGCCATCGCCGCTGTGCCCGTTCAGTCCCCCACCTTTTTCAACGCGTCCTTGACCATCCCCTTCTCCGGTTCCTGCAGGCTTTCGATGGTGGTGCCATCTCGCGCGGTGTGGACCGGACCCTCGACAGCAGCAGCCCCTCCATCCCCCTCGCCCGCCGCCGCCTCCGCTTCGGCCTTCGCCGCTACGGCCTCTTTTCTTTCGGCAGCGACGGTCGCCTCCCGCTCCCAACGCCTTCGCAGCTTGCCCTCGACCACCTCTTCCTCCGCCCTGGAGAGAAACGGCACGCCGTGCGACGCCCAGGCCTGGAAATCGAATCCGTGCTTGCTGCCGGGGGTACAACAGGGAGGCCGCGACCGGGAGCAGAGAATCAGGATGGCTCGGTAGTGGGGATGCGACCGGGTTCGTGGAAGAATATGGTCGGGTGGGAGGGACGCGGGGAAGGGATGCAGCGCAGTAAGGTGTGTTCGCCTGGGCGACATCCCGCCCGCCATGTGGCGTGCTTCATAGGCGCGGAACGTCTGGGTTTCGTGAGCGTAGGCGAAGCGAGATCCATGCTCTCCGGTACCTGAGGAAGTCCATGGAGGACGCCTGGCAGCTGTAGACGCGATCGGAGCCGTGGTAGGTCGAGGGTACGACGAAGCAGTTGAACGGCCGGGCCTCGAGGCGTTCGTCGTGGTATCGGAAGCAGCAGATGCCGTACTGTGTCAGCATGAACTGCGAACATGAGCCTCTGGCCAAGTCGTACCGCGCCTACGAACGTTGCAAAAGCGCATGGTGGAATGAAAGAGAGAGGCCTTTGTAACACCTTCTTGGCGCACCTTGTTCAACGTTTGCAGTCGGGCGTGGTCTGCTGATCTTCGACAGTCAAGGGGCTGCTGCATGGACCAAACTAACTGCAAACAAGACAGATTCGAGTTCCATCCGTGGAACAAGGCGGATATCAAGTAGAGCACTACATCTACCCTGTTCTAACCGCGTAGCAGGCTTGGCGGCGCGTACACACTTGGTTTGAAGTATCTACTTTCACAAACCACCAGCACGAACACGAATAAACCAGTACCAACATAAACTGGTGTTCGGGCGGACCAGCTAGACTGCACTCCAGCAGAGCACAGAAGCGAACATGTGGTCTCTGCAATGCTGTACCTGGACGCTGTCCATCATCTTCTCCCTGGCAGCCCCTGGGAGCCGGAGTCCTGGTGGCAGCAGAGCATGAATTATCACCCAAGGGTAGAAGGGCGGTGGGGAAAAAAAAAAAAAACGGAGGAACGTTTCAAAGCCTAGGCCGTAGGCGGTTGTGCTATAGTCAGTTTCTCTTCGTGTTAAATTAGTAACCGTCTTACATTCGCCACACATGCATGTATGCAAACAACTCGGACACTTGCTATTTCCTTACAGTAGTATGACCCTACATCGAATCCATCTCTATCTTCAAAAGAGTCAAAGACTAAGACTTGAGTACTGCTGTATGTAGATAGCGTCAGCTGGACCTATATTTCCACGATTTCAAAAAAAAAATTGTGTGGCGTGCGTGTTTCATGTTTCTGGACACGTCTCTCACCGGCTTGCGAGTCTACTTGTGACCACGACACCGCCCAACTCGCTGGAAGCTAAGAGTCTATGATACCAATATACTGGGATGCTGCTGGCTTTGCAACACAGGCGCAGAAAGCAGCGTGGCAGTGTCCCTATTACAACGATGAGGCGGCTTGCGCACATTCCATCAAAGCTACCAAAGGTTTTTACCTGTAAACTCAGTGTCCAGGGCGATGAAATGGGACGAACGGATGGCTTCACATATTACGTCGAAGGATTGCTCGAAGTTTTCCTTGGTGATATTCATGCGAGCGGTGTGTAACCGGGCGTGGTGGGTGTGGCAGTTGGGTTCTGAAGTGTCTATAAAGGTTGATGTGCGAGAGATCCATCGGAGCCCCCATCCCCCCCGGCCCGCCCGCGACGCTGACCCTCGACCCCCCCACCCCCGTTCCGCCGTGCGCAGAGCGGACACGCCACGCCGCGAAGCGGAGACAGAGGAAGACAGGGCAGTACCACCACGTACAGCAGTAGAGTACACAAACACTTGCCGTGTTGGTCCATGCCGAGTCTGCTCCAGATATATTGATCACTTCTTGGCCGTCTAGTCTAACGTGTGTTGTGTGTTCTCCACGGTTGTTGGTGTAGTGATCGATCCATCGATCCCCCAACCGGTGAAGTTAGTTGTCCCGCGTTTGTCGAGACACGGGCGGGGGCAATGGCGGCTTCCTCCCAACCGTCTTCGAGCCCTCCTCCCACGACTGACAGCTTGGTCGTGAACTCGGACGAGATGCGCATCCTTATGCAGCACAGAAAGTGAGTTTTCTGCCTGGTCGTGTCGGCGTGCGTCTTTCCTGTCGTCGGTGAATATGTCGGTCTGTCTCTCACCCCTGTTCAGCTGATCTGTAATCTCGCCGCCTGCCCTGCCCTGTCTGCTGTAGGCATGCATGTCTAGGTTGTTTAAAAAGTACCTGATGTAGTGGAGTCATGTCATGATAGTAGATATCGTCAACGATAGCAGCAGTAGGTTATCCATCCCTCGGTGCCTCGGCCATCGGCCGTGGGCTCACTGCTTTTTAGGGTGGTTCCGATGAGTACAAAGCTACTATTAATATAGTCTACTGCTGTACCGCGCCGGCTCCTTTCAACCAGGTTAGCAATCAGTAGCGTACCGTGGTGCTGTATAAATCCACTCCCAGCGTGTCGGAGCGAGGGGAAGCGGGCAAACCGAACTGTTGCATTCGTCGAACTACGTACATATCATAGAGCCGCTGTACGGCTGAAGGTGGCACTGCCTACACTCATTCGAGGCAGTGCGTAGCGCTTTCCTTGCAAGCATGTTATGTATCTCGCCACGCGTCTTGTATCCGACTTCTGACAGGGAGCTAGACGAAAGCCTTGCGCAGATGGAGGCGCAGATTTTTCACGACGAGGGCTCGTACATAAAGGAAACCCCGTGCGGTAACGTCATCCGGGGCTTCGAAACCTTTCACGACAGGTGCGCGGGCGGTGTGTGCTCTTCTCAAGCCCAGCAAATGCAATGTTGTGTGCTGTGTGTTATCGTTGTGTCCATGGTACATTTCTTGACAAAGTGAAGGTAGCCACGTTCGTTTGTTTGTTGTTTTCGTGTTTTTGCCGCTGCCCCCTTTTGAGACGGGATGATTGCGCTGAAATAGGGTGGCGGTGCGTATAGTTCTAAACGGCGAAGACAAGCTCGAAGCCTTTTCGCGAAGCCTTGTGCCTTGTCAGCACCTTTAACCCACCGGCTACAATCCAACGTGCTTCTCGGACAGACAGCGACTCGTCTGTCTCTACCGGCTTTGAGGCATCCTTTAGTCAAACGGAAAGGAGAGAATCGTTCGCCACTTGGTGCTTGTTGGCGTCATCCGATTGCATCCGCGGGTGCGATGCTGTGCTTCTTTTACCGACACTTGTGTGTGTGCACGCGACGTTGTTTGACGTATTGTTCCTCCGGCCCAATACGGGGCTCAGCAAACTCAACGCTGAGCAGCCCAAGAAGTCCCGCATGGAAGTCATCGAGGAGCGGATATTCAGCAAGTCCTCTTTCCTCTTCTGGCAAAGATCTCGGGATCGGTGGGTACTGTACAACAGCTTGGTCGGTACTTGCTGTCCGGCTAACAATCTGACAGAAGGAAGAACAAGTTTGAAAGCTGACAGAACAGATTTGGACGAGAAAGACAGAGTCAAATGCGGGCGTCGGATTGTTTTTTGGTTCCCTTTCAACGGAACGCTCTAGACCGCCTAGGAGCGTTCGGGTTTGTCATCCATGGAGTCCTCTCTCTCTGATCCTACCTTAAGGCGGAACGATCGAGAGATATCCGTTCTGTCAGTCCCCACGTACACGAGCTCTCGCGTGTCTGAAAGTGGTGCAGTCACGTGCGCTTCATCGTGTCATACTCTTGGGTATTTCTTGTCTGCAAGACATGGAGCCAGCCGCGTGTCACGAGGGATACGCTTTATGCAATTATTTCCTGCAGCTTGACCGTCACCACGGATACAAACGATATATGTTGGGCGGTGTCGTCGTTTTCGCCGCCAGGGCCGCGAAAGAAGAAGCGAAGAAGCGCGAGCGCGAGCAGCACCACGCCATGCTCGCCAATCGGGGAATGTTTATGGGGGGCGGGAGCGGGGGTGCGGGTGGGGGTGGGGCCAACGGCGCGGCAGAGGGAGTCGGACACGTTCAGCCCTTGGGTTACGGGTCGTACGGTGAGAGTGTAGAGTGAGGCATTAGGCAAAGAAAAGGGGCTCAGATATTCAGATACGTAGAGACGGGAGAGAGGAATACTGTGACAAAGACATTAGACAACGAGGCAATCTACTGCAGATGGAGAAAGAAGTAGGCGGAGGTGGAGAAAGTGAAGACGGCAGGGCAGGGCACGAAGAAGGTGAAGCGGTCAATAGGCCAGCAAAAAGATGTGCAGATCTGACTCGCTCGAACGTCTCCTGTTGCTCCTGTGGGCGTTAACCCGCACACAAATTTGATGCGGGGACTATTATCTGTATGCTAGGTTCTGCCGTTCACGGCGGCAGCGGGGGGAACGTGCACGGGGGATCGGCGGCACCATCGGCCGTCAACCACGGCAGTGGCAGCCACAAGCACAAAAAGCGGCATCCAGACGGGCACAGCCACGGCCACAAAAAGAAGGTGGGTGCTGGAATACAGAGGGTGATGATGTGGGGTGGAGTGTTGATGATGCCTGCTTGGAGCATGTGCTGCCGCCTAATACAGGCGCACTCGGTACCTGAAGCAGTGAAGCCCGCTTTTGCGGCGAATGCCTGTTGGCGCTGTTGGAATGAAACGGCCGACAAATCTGGCAAACTCCCCGTCTTGTAGGATTGGATATACACTGATCTTAAACCGATGTACACCCCTTGTGCACACGAACAGGGTTGAGGCGCTATGAGTAGGTGTACCCAGTCACGAGGGTAACATACAGTCACGAGGGCGACATACAGGAAACAGATGGGCTTGGGTTCTCAATCTGACACCCCTGTTGTTTTTCCATAAAAAAGTAGTGTGTAGAGCGCTCTTCGTTTCTCCCCTCGATTTCGAGGAGACGTTCGATAAGATTTCAGAGGCTAGGCTAGGACAGCACGAAGTATGGTCGCCGGGAGTGAAAAGTTGGAAGCGAAGTTTGGCCTCATCAATTTTGCTCTGTTAATATTGGTTGTGCTGCGTGGTAGCTTCCACAGGGCACGCACTGCAGCTGCCCGTGGTGGTGGGGGATCGATGTCTCTCTGGTTCGAACAGAACCTTGCCGTCCTATTGTGCGCTACATACACCCAGTCGCACACCCCGCCCTCATCTTAGTCGCGCGAATCTCGCGACATTGTCCACACCTCTCACGTACAAGCCCACACCACAAACGTCGCCCTACCCCTACCCCGCTAACATGGCTTGCGCTAAGCTAGCTGGGTCTACAAGGGCCTCTGAAAGGGCCAGGAAAAGCGCAAGCGATCCCAACTCGGCCCACATAAATGACAGCTCCGCAAAGCGAACATTTGCACGTACTTTAGGTACGGCATGTGTTTCTGCTCCTTCACGGTGTACTTTCGCGTCCGTGTCTTCGACGGTTCCATAAAGCAGAAGAAGAAGCGGAGTTCGACAGCGCTCGGATCGGGGTCGGGCTCTTATGCCGGTGGGGGTTCTCAGGGCGGAGGCGGCGACGGAACCGGGGGCGGCAATTCCGGGTCGTCGGTGGCAGCCAACCGTTACGACAACGTTTAACTCCAGTTGTCAAGGGGACTTTGCTGAATGTAATAATTTTTTCAACACCAATGGAAGAAACACGAAATGGAGAGACTCTTATCTTTCCAAACCTCGGCAATGCTGTTGGGTTTGTGCTTGGTGCTGTTTTCTTTGGGTGTTCGGTTAGATCGTTTATTTATGTAAGTGCTGGGAGTGGGTTGACGCCCATTCTCTTGGCTGTCTTAACTTGTGGTGTGGTGGATAGCCCATTGGCCTCGTTCGAGCGAGACACCTAATCAACTCTCCAAGAGAAGATTCCTTCGAGCGAACGTATGCGTTTGTTGTCTTTCGCTCGCCACGTTTTCAAGAGCCGATCGGCGGCGTACAACCTGTCTCGTTTCAAGTGTTGTTGAGTTCCCCGTGTTGCAGCAGTGCTTGATGAGTCAATTTGAATGTTTTGAGTTGAAGGACTAGCCTCTCTATTCTGCAAGTCGTTCGCTCTAGTCTTTGAACAACTGCTGCAACAACGTGTGTTGGGCGGGGCATCAAGTTGTAGAGATCGCCTCCGATTTTATGTGTGAGGTGGGTGCGGTGTGTTCACTCGAGCAGGAGGGTGCCGACAAGACTTGAAATCAGTGTTACGTTGCCGAATGTCACACACGCTTCTTATACAGTGATTGTCGCCAAGAGATTATGTGAGCTCTTTTCGGTCACCGTATTTGACGGCTGTTAACACTAGCTGCAGAGGAGGTAGCACACGCATCTTTCTTAGGAATGTGGTACGTTGTTCTTCGGTGATCCTCGAAGATGCACGCGCTCTTCGGCCTCACAGCGCTGTTGTTGCACAGCAATGAAGATACTCTTATGAATGTGAGTGAGTGTTTTTCTGTGGCCTCTGTCGGTGTGCTACACTTGCTTGTTGGCCCAAGCATCACCCACGGGCGGAGTTTTTTACAACAGTTCGGATGCGTGTGTTCACGTGAAGTATGAGTACTACACGCAGTAGTTCCGACATACGTTCGTGGCCCATGCAAAAACCGCAGGGAAGATGTTGGGCCTGGGGGAGGGGGGGGAGGTGCTTGAGCACGAGCGCCAGCACCCAAAAAGCTAGCAACGACGTGCATGGTAAGGGCCACAACGAATGCCCCCATCACGCTTTGCAATATGATGTGGCGACAACGACAACCAACAAACAGCAAGAGAACGAGGCCTGAACATGATGAGGATCCCCTCCCATGGAACGCCTCGAGAACCAAGCAACTCCCCTATATCCCAGGGAGTCTTCCTATCTGTCGTCCCCCCACGTCTGTGTCTTCGGCGCTGTGTCTTCGTGCCACTTGGTGCGCTTTGCCCTCCCAACGCGTGTGTGTGTGCAGTGACAGGAATAGACGTCGACAAGGTTGTTGGCGACAACCAAGGCTGTGTTAACGATACCAACAGCCCTGCAGCACTGCCCGCTTCCGCCAAAGAGAGTCTGACCTCCGCAGAATTGCCAATGAGCGATACTGAGAGCATGTCGCATCACTTGCACCCGAAGAACACCGTCCGCAGTAGCCACCAGGACCAGGACTCGGCAGAAGCTTTCGGCGCAGAGTCGTTGCCGGCACGAACAGGAAAAGGCGTGGTTGAATCAGGTGCAACGTCAGAGGAGAGAAATAGTACATTTGTAGCAAAGGGCCAACAGCCAGCAAGGGTAGCAGCGGAGACGGGAATGCCACCGAGAACAGAGGCACACGCAGAGCAGCAGCCAGCAGCGGTAGCGGTGGGAAAAGCTACGCCAGCAGCAGAGGTAGAGCCGCCAGGAAAGGTGCAGGTCACAGTCGGTGGGGCAGAGGAAGCCGGTTCAGAGGGGGAGGACGACGACGACGACTTTGACTGGGGTGCCGCCAAGCACATCTTCGTCCTTAGCAACGCTGGCAAGCCGGTTTTCTCCCTCTCCGGTGATGAACAGCGCCTGTCCACCCTCATGAGCCTCATCCAGGGGATGCTCTCGCTCTGCGCCGACTGCGATAACGGAGACGAAATGGAGTCCATCTCTGCCGGCAGCCGGCGGTTCGTGTTTTTGAAGAGAGGGAATTTGGTGCTTGTAGGCGTCTCATCGTCTTTGGTGGAGACAGCCAGCGGCGACGAGGGTGGGGAGGGTGGAGAAGGAACAGGGAAAGAGGAGGACGAGGCGGCGGCGGCGGCGGCGGCGCCAGAGTGTGAAAGTTTCATGAGGCTACAGCTGGAGTACTTGTACGCGAGCATTCTCTTCCTTCTCACGTCGAAGGTGTGTAACACAGCAGCTGTACCGAACTTGGCCAGAGAAGAGGTGACCGCGCAGAGCAGGAGAATGAAAACACATTCCCCGTATCTGCAAGTGTGGGCTGTCGGCCACATGAGTAGGTTTCTGCAAAACGTTCCTGTCCGCGCGCCAAATCCGCCTGCCGCGAGCGAGCTGTGTCAGGTGCGTTACTAGTCTACATGTGTTTTTTACAACCACCTTTCTACCCCGATTGTTCCCTCCGACCCCACCCCTAACCCCTCCTCCTTGAAACCTACTCTTACGAATCAACAAAAGGTTCAAGGCATCTTCTTGAAGTCGCCAGGTTACGACCTTCGCGGCCTCCTGGGCGGGGCAGATACCTCCCTAAGAGGCATCATCGAGCTCGCCGAGCCCTCGCGCGGGCGGGGGCGCATGCTGGCGGGCGGCGTGGAGACGGTCTGGATGGACCCGGCGATACGCTCGAGGGTAGCGAGGAACCTCCAGGCCGCGCAGACCGCGAGCGCTCCGAGCGGCGCCCTGTACGCGGTGTGGCTGTGCGGGGAGAAGCTGGTGGCGCTGGCGCAGCCCAGGGCGCCGTCTCACCACCTGAGCTCACGGGACCTGCTCCTCTTGGTGAACTACGTGGCGACGCAGCCGGCGCTGCGGAACGCGGAGTCGTGGACCCCTGTTTGTTTCCCTCGCTTCCAGAAAACGGTGGGGTTCTTTCATTCTCATGCACCTGGCAACGGATATGCCTGCAGAAGGGGTGTGTAGTTACGCATTTTCCGGCGTGCACTGGTTGCTTGTAAAGTCTTTCGAGAAGTGCGTGGCTAATTTGGTTGCGGTCTTTCTGTACTGTGAAACATGAAGCCTTGCTCGCACGACGAGGGCGTGGCGCGAGGTTAGCCTGGTCGGTGGAAAGCCTCAATGTGGAACGTTCCTCGGGTTCACATTGTTGCTAGCATACAACCCTGGGTTTACCCCGAACATGCTGTTCTGTTCAGTGCTATTCTGGTACGTCTTGGCAAAGCCTAACACCCAAAACTGCTTGAGTAGTTTATGTGGTACACTTGCAGATCTGAGGCAGAGTAAATACCTCCAAAAATCGACATACAAGGGCGCCCTCTGCAGCTTCTCATAGAAGCTCTGGTTGTGTTTGACTACTATATAAATATATAAGAACTTTGTTTCTTTTTACCTACAAGAGAGCCGAGCGGGTTTGGTAAGGCCTGTTGCCATCCCATGCTGTGTTGATGTCCCCTGACCTCGTGCTCTTTTGCGACCCGTAGCACCGATCCCGCCCTCTCACGTACAATCACATGTCTGATTGACTCTCTTTCTTCTCACCCTTTGAAATATCAGTCATGCTTCTGACGTGCGATTTTCCGCGCCTCTTGTCTGTTTTTGCTGCATGCTCTGACATGTCCTCGACTCTGCAAACAACCATCTAACAGGGCTACCTCTACGCATACATCGGCTTCTTGGAGGACCCCCCTTCTTCCACATTACCCCGGCCGCCACCGCAGGGAAATGCCGATCAGAATTCCCCACCTGCCCAACACAGTGACGCCACCGCCGGCACGGGTTCAATCGCCGACGAAAACGAGGGCCGGCGTGGTGGCAGTGCTTCCGCCGATGGCGGCACGCAGAGCAACGGTAGCGGCAGCCGCTCGATCGAGCGGGACTCTGGAACAGAGGCGGGGGGGGCAGCAGGAGACTCGTGCGTGATCCTGGTGTCCGTGGAGTCTTCTTCGGAGCAGTTCCAGGCGTTTCGGCGCACCCGGTCTGCTCTCGAGTCGCGCTTCCGCTCGGCGCTTGGGACGCACTGGGACCGCTACCTGGGCTCCGGGGCGGAGTTGGAGAGGGAGGGAATCTTGACCAAGTTTTGCACCCAGATGAAGGCGCTACACTTCCACTACTGCCTCCGGGGGAAGCAGGGCGGGGCGCCGTGCGTGACGCAGTGCCTCTCGTCGCCGTTCGTCGACCACGAGCTTGCGAGCAACCCCGCCGCGCAGCACAGGGTCTGGGGTTACTACACCCGCGCGGCCCTGAGGGTGCGTCGGGGCAGCTGCCAGGAAGGGCGCGTGTTTTGTCGGAGAAGGTTCGAAGGGAACAACGGGTACTTCGGTGGCGGTGGTGGTGACGGGCGTGGGAGCGGTTCACCGGCCGAGGAGGGAAACGGGGCCAGCGAAGAGGAGCTGGCGACGGCGCTGTTTGAGTCGGACCCCGTGCACAGTCTGGCGTACGAGGTCGGAGACGAGCACACGGTCGTGTCCTTGTTCGGCAAGCGGGACGGAGGGGCCGGCGGGGGCGGTCGGTGGGTGTCATCCTCCTCGGCAGGCACCGGGAGACTGGGAGGGGGGGACGAGCTGCACGTATGCTTCCCGTCTTCGGTCTCCCCGGAGGACGCGTACAAGGCAGCCGTCCGCCTCACCGCCATCGTCCGAAGAGACAGGGATTGGCTGTTTCTTACGGGGACCGGAGCGGCAAAGTGAACAACAGACGGGCGCGTGGTAGGTTCTTGTTGGTGGCGACTTGTGGCCGGACGGCGGTGGTTTTCAAGTTTTTTGTTTGTTCATGAGGGAGGAGGATCAACGGGTGCTTGCGTCCGAGTGGCGGTGGTCACGGTGATGGTCATGGGATGGTGGGGAGGAGCGGGGCTCGAGCCGGCTCTGCATACAGCGTTTGGTGGTGAAAGACGGAATGGAAAAATCAGCAGTTTTTAGAGGAACCCGTGCGCGGCTCGTGGCACGGACGTGCCGAAGCCTCAAGGCCAGCTGGGAGAGGACACCACCAGTCAGACCAGACCAGTTGCGGTAAGCTCCATTCGGATTCATGGCTTTTCATCTCGACACGTGCAAAGTGCCGCGCACCCGGAGTTACTTGAGCTGTGTTGAGTGGCCGCCATTTCCTGTTGCTGCGCTGTGTCGTCTTGCATCACGCATCTTCCTCAAAATTACTGGGACGTGCCCAACGCAGATGAAGGTGTGCTATGACAAACATTGCATCGCCAATCGTGTCATGTTCAATCATGTGATTTGACTTTCATTGAGTACGGCTGCTGTCAGAGATGAGCAAGGAGCAACGAGCTTACGCCGTACGTCCCTGCCATCTTTTTCTTGTGTGTACGCATTTTGCCGATTTTCTTGGTTCCTTTCCGTCCCGTCTACATCCGCACAAACTTCTACCGTGGACCACCAGCAATCACAGACAACGGTTACGTGCGTCTGTTCTCTTCATTTCCCAGGATGCACAAGTGTGCTAAGCAATAGGCAAGGAAGCCCTCGGTCCTCCGAGGTTGAGTGGGCCGAAGTGTTGGCGACCTCGATTGGTCGGCATACCCATGCGGGTGACGGTCGGTACTGTCGAGCGCAACAGTTCGAACAGACGATGGAAGGTTTCCTGCAGGCTGGAACGACGTGTGTGCAGTCACTCGCTCGCCTACAACCAAGCGGTGTCTTCGAGCATCAACTCGAAACAGTGTGGTTCTGAGCTTTTCTCATTCTCCATGGCGGTCTCTGTTGGAATGTGTCACTGCATAAACGTGGAGAAAGACAAGGACGACGTGGAGGGGTGGCTTTGCTTCCCTCTGATAACGCGCCTACACTACTCAAAGGTATTTTTGTCTCTTACGTGGCGTTTGGATCGGCGATGCTTGGGTCTCGTCTCCTAGGGCTTGTGTCGTGAGGACGCGGATTTTCCGGGCTTCCGTAAGGCCATAGTCCTTGAGTTCCGGTACAATACCGTACAGTTACACATGTGTTGCACATGGTGATAGGCCTTGAACGCTTGTCGTCTCCCGCTTTGTGGTACGGATTGAACCGTAGATCTTTCGTGTAGGATCTTAGGTGCTCCATGAGAGGGTTGGGGGGGGGGGGAGTGGGTGCGGGTTGCCGGCGCGTTCTCTGCGTTCATCGCCGTGGGGCAACGTTGGTGATGCTTCGTTCGCGTGTAAAAAACCATCTGACCTGTGTCAAGTACTTCCTCTTCCCTGCTCAAGAAAAAGAGGCGAGTCTCGTGCATGCTAAGAGAGATGAGCCAACTATGACCTTCCACCACCAGACACGGGGTGGTCCTTTCACTTGGTAAAACCTTTGCTTTGGAATTTGGAGTCTTATGTACCATGGGCAAAAAGTGCACCAACACACAGCACTACGCTTCAGTGCACCTCTCACTTACGCATCACATTAAATTAATTTACAGCAGTGATGAGCATCGATAAAGGAGCAGCATTTCCACAACTTGTATTCCCACGCCAATTGGCGACAATTTCTGTGAATTCTAACCTCTCCCCCGGTAATATTAAGCTCCGGCTAGGCTAGAGAACTCTCTGCTAGATAGATCTCTATCAGCTCCCAAAAGTGGGGCGTGTGGTACATGAGCGCAGCCGTCAATTTCAGCCAGGCCGCATCAGCAGCGTTGACGCTTCAAGCCGTCGATGTTTCTTCGCCGTGTCTCCGCGAAAGCAGCCCTCGAAACGCTCCGAGTATAGCCTGTTTCGTTTCAGAGAGGAATTCCGTGTGAGTACAAGGGTGGGTTGTGTTCCTCAGTGCTATGCCTGACGTGCGCAACACAACAAGCGAAGGGAAGATACCAAACGATCAGGTGTACCCCACACGCACCTCCGAGACATTTTTGTCTACCCGTTTGGCCGAGTGACGATGAAACTTGCACGCAAACACAGCACTCTAATGATCGCCAGTGTCGTTGTATAAGGGACAAAGCAGCTGTCAACAAGGCCACTATCGAACGGCCGACTACTCCGAAACATAGGCTAATCGACCAACCCCCCTCCCGGCAAGCTCGCCCAGGTCATAAGCCCCTCACCATGCCTATGCCCCGCCCTGCAGCCGCCAGAACAACAGCGATAACTCGCACGACCAAAATCGGCCTCCAACGCGCTCCCCTCAGAGCCCGTCTCCTCAGCAATCGTCGGGAGACTGCTCGCGCTTCTCGCTCTGTGGCAGTTGTCGCTGCTTCCGCTTCGTCGTCTTCGCTGGGTGAAACTCCAGCATCACCGGATTGTTGGTGTCGATGGCGGTGTTGCTGCTGCTGCTGCGGCCGCTGCTCCCCTCGAATGAGGGGGGCGGTGGAAGAAGTTTTTCTTTTCGAGTCATCGTCGTGGGGTCCCTCTCGTTGTCGTCGTCGTCGACCCTGCCGTCGTCGATTCCTTCGAAAAATACGAGGGAATCTGCTTTTGACGGAAGAGGCCGCGGCCATCTTCAAGTCCAACATGACCGCCGATCTCACGAACGCGCCCTCGTCGGACAGGATGAAATCCACGGACAGATCCAAGGGCGGCCGCCTGCCAAGCGCAGCGGCTTGTAGGCGTGAGTTTTTGCAGTCCACCGCAAACTGGCTCGTGATTACGAACGAGCTGGTTTTGTACAAAAAGATTTTTTTCCCGTGTTCACGAGACAACAATTCACGAAACAAGCACCAAACGTTTACACACAAACCTTTGGAGCAGTGGCGTAGATGCCGGTCAGTTGGCCCAAAGGACGCAGTCGTCGACAAGGACTGTTTCCCCTGTTTGCCATGCTTCTCACATCTCACCAAGCGCAGCAAGGAGCTGTCAACAAAAAGACCATTGGAACCACATCGTTTTCGAACGGCTCGCGTCTTTCCTCGCTGTTTCCGGGCCTAGGTGTGTGCTTGCCCCAAAACCAAACGAAGAGGCTTGCTAAAGTAGAGAGCCCCGCCCTCTTTCGAAAGAAAAAAACAAAAGCACCCCTATTGGAAGACCCACCTCGTCTCTCCCCCGGCCCCAACTCGTTGGTCGAGAAAGTTGGAATCGCTCATGAGCACCTCCAGCACGTCCCTGTTCGACCAAACAGAGCCGCATCGTCACAAACCGAGACGAATCAAGAGGATGGCAGCGCCATGACGGCTAACTATTTCAGAGTCTGCTAGAGCACTACTACTGGCGAACGAGCCAACTCGCAAGCGAAAAAGCACTACTACTGTGGTCGTAGAGTTCGGAACCAGCACGAGCAACAACGAGGCGTGCGTTTGGAGAGGATATAAACCAAACCATTAAATAGGGGGAGGGGGGGGGGGGGGGGGGTGTACTCATAGTCGTGCATGCCGTAGTCGTTTGACCATTGACCTCGCATCCCTACAAAGCCGGGACGGAGCACGCCGGGTTCTTACCGGACCAGGCTCTCACATCACAAGCGCCGTGAGGTATTTGGCGAGTCGCATGAAGGGTGAGCTGCATCCTGCTAAGGGTGTTCGGCATTTTGTGCTTACTTCCTTGCGTACGGATGACAGCTACGTATGACTTAATTTATTTTCTGGTGCTTGGAGGGGGGGGGGGGGTGGCTGTGTGCTAGCCGTGGGCAACAAAACCTCACCACTGGACCGACCCGTCGTCCGCAACGATGAGATCTTTGAGGGCGGCTCGCAATGGGGGGCTGGGGTCCGTGAGTAGCCTGCGGCACACGTAGGGGTACACTACCGATATCAGGTTGAAACCCGGGTCCGCGGTCATGGCTAGCCCCTCCAGTTCACCTGAGCAGCGGACGAGTTTGAAGGCGCATCGCGAAACCCGACGTGTTGAAGCAGGCACAAGAAAAGGCGGGTGCGAGCGAATCACACACATTTCAGGGTCGAGTGTGGCCCATTGCGGGTCGTGGCGCTATCTATACTGGATGTGCTTTGCTTTCATGTATGAACGGCCAAACAATGCGTGGCGTACACTGGGTTAAAAAAGTAAACAAATGGCCGAAAAGGATAAGACGAAAAGGTGAAACCGAAAACATCAAACCGAAGAAGTTAAGCTGAAAAGATTAAACCGTAAACCGAAAAAGTTAAGCCGAAAACGTGAAACCGAAAAGGTTGAGCCGAAAAAGACAAACCGAAAAGGTTTAGTCGAAAGCGATAAACCGAAAACGTGTAACAGAAAAGGCGCGAAAAGGATAACCGAAATGGTGAAGCCGAAAAGATTAAACCGAAAAAGTTAAGCCGAAAACGCGAAACCGAAAGGTTGAGCCGAAAAGGACAATAAACGGAAAACAAACGTGAAACAAAGAACGTGGAACCAGTGTAATGAGCTTTTACCCCTTCCTTCAGAGTCAATTACCTTAGAGCTGTGTGGAACTCTCTTGTCCGACCACAAGTACAGTGGTTGTTGCTTTCCGTTGTTCTCTTTCTCTTGATAAACGCTTTCCAAGGCAACTCACAAGATCACAAGCACACACCATCACCGGATCGTCGGCACACTGAACAGAAGGGCACCTGCCTCGGCATAAAGCCCAAATCTAGCATGACGTCACCTCCTAGCATCTGACCACGCCAAATAACCATGGTCAACAACGATCCACATGTAGTCAACCTCCCAATACCATGACACCGAACAGGTTAAACCGAAAATGACCGAAAAGGATGAGCCGAAAAAGATTAAGTCGAACAGATTAAACCGAAACCGAAAAGGTTCAGCCGAAAAGATTGAACCGAACAGATTAAACCCAAACCGAAAAGGTTCAGCCGAAAAGGTTAAACCGAAAAAGTTAAGCCGAAACCGTGAAACCGAAAAGGTTAGCCGCAACGATTAAACCGAAACACCTAAGCCGAAAGCATGAAACCGAAAAGGTTAAGCGGAAAAAGTGAAGCCGAAAACAAACGTGAAACCGAAAAGGTTAAGCCGAAAAGATGAAACCGAAAAAGTTAAGCCGAAAGATGAAACCGAAAAAGTTAGGCCGAAAAGATGAAACCGAATAAGTTAAGCCGAAAAGATGAAACCGAAAAAATTAAGCCGAAAACGTGAAACCGAAAAGGGTGAGCCGAAAAGGTTAAACCGAAAATGTGGAAAACGTGAAACCGAAAAGGACCGAACAGGATAAGAATGTGTCTTACGCAAGATGTGTTCTGGCTTTTGGATTTTGGGGGGGTCCTTTTCTAAGCCCAAAGCATTATTTGGGCTGCTTACGCGGAGGAAAATGGCAAATTATCACAGCCCAAAATCTTACAGCCCGGATATTTCCAAGGATTCCGGCCGGCCTGTTTGAAAATTGGCCCATTTTCTAACAGCGATCGGGTTGGAATATCGCTGTTAGAAATGGGGGGGGTCACCCCCTGGCCACACCCTGATCGTACCAGAACGAGGAACTACACGGTATGCTGGAGAGACCAGTATCATGAGGTAATGCACAATCCCTTTGCAGGTATCTAAAATTCAGGGCGTTCTGCGTCGTGTTGGCCACACACGAGCCGAAAACGCCTACCCTGTCACATTGCTCTGCTGACGTTCTTGCCTTTCGGCCGAAAAGAGCCGTTTTTACGCCTGCTGCATATATGACCAGTTGAAAACGCACGCCACAGAGAGGCTTTAGGCCGTCGACATCCACCAATTGCAGCTAATGGGGTGTGGTCACACACATACCCTCTGCTCGCGTCCCAGAAACAGAGCGTAATGTCCAGTTTTGAGTGCACATGGCCTGCAAAAAAACGTGAACCAAACTGTGTTTCGGTGTTGACTGTTGTTACTTTTTTCTTGTTCCGCCGCGTGTGTGCTCTGTGTGTCACCCGCTACTAGTCAAAAACGCATGCCAGAGGGAGGTTTTAGGCCGATGTCTGCAGGCAATGGCGTGTGGTCATACACATACCCTCTGCTCGTGTCCCAGAAACAGAGCGTATCCAGTTATGATAGCACACGGCCTGTAAACGTGAACCGAAGTGTGTGTTACTGTGTTGACTTTTTCGGACGTTGCCTTTTGTTTTCTTATTGCTGCGAGTGTGATCAGTCCACAACGCATGCCAGAGAGAGGCCTTTGGCCGACGACGTCCACATTTCGTCCTATTTATTTTGGCGACAGTCCCCCCATTTTTCGTGGTGAGACGTGTACTATACTATTCAGTGCATGTAAGGTACTACACTTTCCAGTGTATTTTTTCTGTACAACTACAACCACCCAGGGTCACACAGGAGGGGGTAAACACCAGGTTTTTTTTCTTCTTTTTCTTTATTTTGTGCCCCACCTTCCTGCGGTGTGTGCTGAATTTTTTTTTATCGCGAGAAAGGTCCAGCCGTCCCTTTCCCTCGTCAACGGTGCTAACGTCGAAATTTGGTACTCTCGAGAGCTCTTCTTGCTATTTTTCGCTTTCACCCGCAAATTGTGTAAATTTTTCACACCATGGGGATTCGGGCTCACGACCTTTGAGACTAGCGGTTTTCGAGGATACCACTAGACCACCGGGGCGACCGGCATGAACTTACATTGAACTATATCGTAATAAACACCTAAGTACCCCCAATCGTGCCCCGCTATCGTTTCCAAACATCCCGACAAAGGCACCAATGGGGTAAACTTTGCGCGCAGCGTAAAACACAAGAGTTTCTTTGGGGAAGAACACGCTGTGGAACGTACGGCGCGTGCTGTTTTCCTTGACAAGGCTGGCCCATCACGAGGGCGTCCCTCTCTTTCTTTTAATTGCAACGACCAGCGATATTGATGGTATGGAACACTGCTGTGAACAGAGGGAATTGTCCGCGATAGTCGTTAGGGAGGTTATACCCTTTATGAATGTGATCTCCACGGCACAAGCAACATATATGCATACCAGGCAAAACACGGACGGTCTCCCCTACACGCTTGGCGTAAGAACACGCGATGTGTTCGTAACTTCAACAACAAGAATCCCATCAGTGTGTGGTTGTTGTTGTTGTTGTCTTCACATTAAAATAGTTCCAGTCTGTGTTCAGGTATCGTCCAACATCCGCACCGGCCCATCCGACGCGAACATGGAATCAATCGTAGACAAACATTCGAATAGCGTGCCATCTCGGCACTCGCTCACCGAGGGCCCTAACGTTGCTGATGAAGTACGGGGGCACCCGAAAGTTGAAGGACCTCGCCAGGAGGAAGACGCGGTCGATCAGCTGCGCGAACGCCACCCGCTCGGACCCCGAAGGCGCCTCGTTGCTGCCGAAACCGCCGTCTAGTCCCTTCGGGGTTGTCATGCACACGACGAAGCAAGACGGGGTCATGCAACACCGTGAATGTAACACCGTGATTATCCTGGATTCTTATCTGTGGGTAGAGGTGAAGTCATTGTGTTTCTGCAAGGAAATAAAACAAAAGAACGACGATGGAGACGAACCACGACGAAACACCAAACAGCAGTGGACGAAGACCGTTGACTTCGGTCGGCATTACCGGCCCAGAGTCAAGCTCGCCTCTGCAGGTGTTTTGAGTGTTGAGTTATACTACGGTGCATCGCCCACACAGGAGTGCGGTTCTTCCCTTGGTCGTTTCCGGCTCATCAAACTGTCCAAAGTGCGCGTATCCGTCCGTGTTTGAGAGGGAGAAATAAAGAGAGATAGAACGTGCCTGTTATGTGCGCTCATTCGGTTAGTTTGACTTTTACTGTCACGAGTGCATCCGACGAAAAACGCTGCAATGTTCTGTTGTGTTCGCACTAAACATTGTTCCGGTCCCCTCTCAATAATATCTTCAAACACCCGTACCGGTACAACTGAACCCTTCGGCGGTCACAAGCCAATTACCCAAAAAAGCAGCGAGCACACTTCGAAAGAACCAAAGGGAAAATAAAAAGTACTCAGAAATATCACCACACAAACTGCTGAGCAGCAAGGTCGAAAGCCGGGTAAGACCCCTGAACTGCCTAAACTGCTCTCTGCTCTCTCTGCTCTCTCTTTCTCTCTGTTCGACACACCTCACCATCTGTCGGCGGAAGTCGGCAACGATGGGGTCCAAGGCCGCCTCCAGGGCGGCGGCGAACGGTTCGAAGTCCTCCAACAGGTCGCTCTCGCTCATCAACGCTAGTGCGGGGAAACCTTTGGCAAGCGCCACATAGTCCCTTTGGATGACAGCGTCGGTACGTATATTTTTAGTGTTGTTTATGAGACTGATGTCTCCAGGTTCACGTGCGGACAAGTGTGTGGTGTGGATACACACCGGTTCAACCCCTTGGGGAGAGGCTGAAGAGTACGGATAGTTGTGTTGTGAGTCAGGGGGAAGCAACCCTTGTTGCAGCAAGGTTCAGCGTCCATCATACACTCACTCTATCTGACTCTATCTGTGGCAACACCCCGAATGTAGATCTCCGACAGGTCATCTGACGTCACAATCTACGACAGTCTGAGGTGGCATTCACAGCACCCCCCTACCTTCAATCTCGGGACCTGAATCCGGATTGAAAGATACAAGACGAGCTAACGATACGACCTTCTCTACTATCGCGCAATTGAGAGGTGCTGCATAGACGAACGATGAATGGTGGTTACGAGTACAGCAAACGATATGTGTAGCATGGATTTGACGCTGTTGGTGGATACGCCCACGTTGGATGCAACACTTCGTGGAAGTCGGTAGGGGGAGCCTAGTTCGCGCTGCCGCTGTAGGCCAACTATGAGACTAATGTCTCCAGGTTCACGTGTGGACACTGATGTGTGGTGTGGATACACACCAGTTCAACCCCGTGGAGAGGCTAAAGAGTACGGATAGTTGTGTTGTGAGTCAGGGGGAAGCAACCCTTGTTGCAGCAAGGTTGAGCGTCCATCATACACTGACTCTATCTGTGGCAACACCCCGAAGGTAGATCTCCGACAGGTCATCTGACGTCACAATCTACGACAGTCTGAGGTGGCATTCACATGTTTCATTTTTCCGTTTTTGGTCGACCACGGTGGCATCAAGGAGGGGGGAGGGTATGGACGTGCACAGATTTGGTTTTGGTCTGTGTCGGACACGCGTGCATCATTTGCCGGGTGCACGGTTTCTGGACTTGACGGCTTCTGCAGGTGTTCAGGCGCTTGTTAATCTGCACGAAGGCCTCGAAGACGAAACCCGCGTGTGGCGAACGCAGTGCGCACACAATTGCTATCTTTTCCAACAAAACCCATAAATCCACAACAACCAAAACAGACAAAAAGGTTGGTCGATTCCGACGCTCCAGACCTGGTCTGTACCTGTTCATCACGTACACCGTGGCGCAGATGAGCGCATCCATGACCCCCGGAGGTATCACGCTCACCAGACCAAAGTCCTGTCCACGGGAAGCAGAGGAAAGAGACAACAAGTCACGCCACGCGGACACCTGAACGGTCTTCCCTTTGGGCAAATTGCGGAGGCAAGAAGGGGGGTCATCTGCCCTTTGCACCACACTCTGCAGCATGTGGTGCAGCAGAAAAAATGCTTACCACACATTTCTGCGGCATGCGTTGTGTCACGAAAGTGTTTGTTGGCGCTCCCGGTTGCGGTTAACACTAGAATAGTTTCGTGTCTCTTCAACGGCCCTGGTGGGTACACACCCGCAAGAAGTCTCGTGGCGGACGACACGGACGTTCGTAAGAACCTAGCAAGAACGCCCGGCAAGCTTAGGGACAGCGGTCTCGAACCGAGATGCTCATAACGCTTGCAACGGCGATCGGTGTTTTCTTGCAGCTTTCTCTCGAAGCGGTGCAACACGCGACTTCGAGCGCGGGTGGCGCCTCCGGCGGGGTATTAGGTTACTAATGGTACACGCCAAAGGAGAGGTCGGGGCGCGTCGACTGTCAGTCTATTTCCTCAAAAGATAGCCAGCAGTGGCGATGAACAACACATGTACTCGTGCGGGCAGTGTACATCAGAACACAGCATCTTGAGCGGATGGTCGTGGCAAAGCATGGTGCCCCGAATCGAGCTCACACGTCTTTGCGGCCCTACACTCTCGCTCTCGCTCTCACTCTCACCAGATAGGCTAGACGCTTGTCGGCGGTCTTGAGAAGATTGCCGCCGTGAGGATCCTGAGACAAGAACGCGCACAAGAACAATACAGGTCGGAACACATTTCCACGAAGCCGGGAATGGCCCTAATGAAGCGGGAGTGATTGCAAGCTTCTTGGTGGTGATGAACATGCACAAACTCGCTACAACACCCCCCATTCCCTACGATCGGGAAGGGACGCAATGAAGCCAAAATGGCAGTACCGCTTGTGCGGTATGGGAGGGGAGAGGTTGCCGAGAATAGCTTGGGAGGCGAAGTGGGCTAACAAGAAGAGGGGTTGACAACCCACAGAGTGAGTCAAGGTTGTAGATGACGTATGGAAAGAGTTCGAAATTGACGAAGATGATACCCTGGAAACGGAATATCTGGAGGGGTTCAAGGATAATTTGTCTGTTGCTTTTGCTGAGGGAGAAGAACATAGAATCTAGCCAAAGAAACCAAGGATAAAGAGGTCTACAGATGTGTACGGAATGTTGAAAGAAGGAACAGGGTGCAAGGAGTACCTACATGGACCAATGGATGCAGGGACAAAGCTCATGGTCAAATCCGAGACCAGGGACATTGGCCTTCGAGAACGTAGACGTAGACTTAGCAATGTAGACGATGAAGACGACAAGTAAAAATGCAAATGCGGCTCCAAGTGCGAACACCGGGTTCATGTAGATGCGGAATGTCCGTTGCACAAGAAGGAGAAGGAAGTATACATGACTGAGTGGGGGAAGTAGAAGGAAGATACAGGGAAATGTTTGAGGCATGGAATAGCCAGGAGAAGACGGTAGCTGGCTGGGACATATTGTTGCAGAGAAGGACTAGTCTGTACGTCATCACCAGGTTATCCACTCTCACCTGCACAGATTATTAGCTATTGTCTGTGAGTTCGATTGTAGACATGCCAAGCATTCCGTGATCACAGCGCAAGCGAGCAAGCTGCGGTACTCCAAGCATGCATGCAATTCCAACTCCTCCGATACTCCATGATCCGGTCAGTCATGCGTGGTCATCACTCACAGTCGCGATTGCAGCTCGATACAAGCGCTCAGATCAGGTTCGTTCACAAAGGTTTCGTGTTCACTTCAGGACACTTCGGTCACTGACAGCTAGCTGCAAGCTGTCAGTCGGAGGAACCGTCTCATCGTCGCGCGGGGAATGGGAACTAATTATTCCGCCGGTTCCATTATTAACCCGGCAGACGGTTGTATCTATCGGGAACCTTGACACTTGTGCCTTGCGTACAAGTGCCCGTCATCGCACTATTTAGAACCGGTGCACACGGCCGTCTAGAACACCCCCCCAGCATAGACCGTGGTACACGGCTATGCTAACGGAGCGGCCGTACGGTGCCCGCACAAGATTCCCATTTCCCTGCCCAGATAAAGTCTGGGTCTCCCCCGGTGCGAAACGGAGACGACGCGACACTTCTGCACGTTCTCCCACTGCCGGCACATACGCCTAGGCTGCCAGATGACAGTCGGCGGGCTCAAAGCAGTGGTAGCAGTCCGCCGTCCAGGGTAAAGAAGAGAAGAACGGTCGGGAGCGACGCCGATGCCCGCATCCATTTCCCGCTTCGAAAGCCCCTCCCAATCTCCGTCCGGGTACTCCACGCGCCAGTAAGGGCCGCAGTAGTCGAAGACGGTCGCCTTCAAAACCTTGAGGTGGCCATCGCTGTCGGCGAACTCACGGCCGACCGGCGTGCCCGTCGGGAAGAGCTGCAGCGCCTGCTCCCTGGACGCCACTTCGCGCTCGCCCCGGGTAGGCGACCCGGCGGGTCGTGGGGCCGCGTCCTCGCCATGGCAAGGCCTCAAACAGTGCGTGAAAGACGTCCAGCCGGAGCGGCGAAAAGCTGTCGCCGGTCTCGTCCTCAGTCATCCAGGGTGAGAGAGCAACGTCCTGGTAGCGACCTTGGTACTCCCAACTCCACGTCGGCGTGTTGCCGGTAACGTACCACCCGCCTGTCCACTAGCGTGTACAGCGGCACGGCGACGACGGAGGTGTCGGCCAGGCCGAGGTCAGCCGACCACACGAGGTGCGCAAACTTGCCTCGAACGGAAGCCGAAGGACCTGCGGACTCACATGGTAGGGCTTGAGACCAGGCGCTGCCACCTTGCGTCGGCGGATCCGGCGGCCGTTGAGCTGGGCCGTGAAGCTCAGGCGGTCGTGGATAACGTTGGTGACCTTCCACGGGCTGGTGTAGTGATCGTGCGCAAGCTTCGGGTAGTGGCTGTCCTGGTGTAGCGTGTTGGTCGATTCCTTGACGAGAACGGTGTCTCCAACGGCCGCTTTGGCCCCGGGTGACTCCCGCGCCGCTTTGGCCCCGGGTGACTCCCGCGCCACTCGGGTGTTGTGGCGTTCCCGATGGTGATTCTGGGCCTGGTGCCGATAGGCGAGGATTTCTCGAGTCATGTGTTGTTGGTCGGCGACAGTCCGCTAGAGTCCCTGTGCAAGAGCTGTCGTCCACGTGACGACGTCGATGTGGCTGCGTGGTTCCCGACCGAAGAGGATACGGTAGGGGGACGCTCCACCGGGCAGGGACGCGTCGGGCGTGTCGCGGTGGATCCAGGTCGCCACAGGTACGATGTCGTCCTTTCGCTTGGGTCACGCGGTGCACAGCTGGGACAGCGCCTCGTGCAGCCACCCCCCCAACCTCTCAACCGCCCCGTGGGCGCGGGGGTGGTTGGTTGGGCCGTAGTTCAGCGGTACCTTCAGCCAGCGGCAGAGGTGCCGCATCACCTCAGCGGTGAACTCGCTGCCCGGGTCGCAGCGGATCGAGAGGGGCAGGCCAAAGGTTAGCAGGAGGTCCAAGAGTTTGCGGCTCACCCCAATTGGCTTCCTTGGACGGGAGTGGGAAGGCCACGAGGAACTTGGAGGCTTGGTCGACCACCACGAGCAGGGAACGGTTGCCCTTGTCGGAAGTTACCTTGAGGTCTTGGATGTCCATCTCGAGCACCACCCACGGCTGAAAAAGCCGCGCCGGCATCATGAGTAGTTGCCTACTCCATGCACGCTTCCGCCGGCGGCACTTGCAGGACCGGGCACTACATACTCGGACGTCCTTCTTGAGGGTCGGCCAGGTATGTCCGCTCAATTAAGAGGGTGGTGCGTGCCGCTCCAGGCCGTACATACCGTGGACCAGCGCCAACACGGCGGGCACCAGCTCTTTGGGGACCGCGATTGCGTACGCGCGGCCACGCGGAGCGTGCCACAGCAGGTGGTCGTCGGCCAGGACGTAATAATCGACCTCTCCACGTCCCGCTTCCAAGTCGAATCGGAGGCGTCGAAGTGTTGGATCTCGTCGCTGAGTCCACGAGTCGGGCAATGTTGCGTAAAGTGTGCGCCATCTGCTCTAGCTTGGTGGAGAGACCCCGTCGTAGCTGCGGCGTGTCCAGCGGGGTGTTGTCGCCCACGGGGGTCTCCTGCGGCGTCGCTGGTGCAGGGGGTGGCGTCGACGGCGGCGGCGAGGCGGCCGTTGGCGTGGGGCCGGCATCCGCGTCCATGGGTGTCGGCTGTGGCGCAGGAGGCGGGGTCGGGTCTGAGGTGGGCGCGGCGGCAGCCCTGGGGTCCGGTCCACGGGTTCCCCTGCACTTGGCTTCGTGACGTGCGGGGCCGATGGTGACCGGCGTGCAGGCCCACGTGGGCGGCCGCGACCGCGGCGTTCACCAGCGCTTGCCGTCTCCCGGGGTGACGGTGCGGCGGTGGGTGTCGGCGTCGGCCGCGCGGCTGGGCGGGCCATACCCCTCGTGACCCGAGGGATCACCACGAAGCGCGACGTTGCCTTGTTCGCAGCGTCGATGGCGACGACGTCGTCGGCGGGGTCTGTCCACAGGCTAGCCAGCGCGATCACCAACTCGTCGTCCATGCTGCCCCGTTGGTCGGCGTTCCGGTTGACGATGCCGTGGATGCCCAGCGCGCTGAAGGCTTCCCTTAGCAATGGGGCAGGGTGAACTCCACGAGCACCCGTGCAGCATCGATCCGTCGCACGTTCGGCGGAACGTCGAAGACCGTCTGGGAAGTGGTGAGCTGCACAAATTCCTCCTGTGCCAGGTCGTCGGCAGAATGAGGCTGGTACTCCGACGGTCAGCGACCCATGATGCTCCCATGCGTGATGGTGACGGCAGGTTGCGCGAAGCTGAAGACTTTTGTCGCCGGGCGGGCGCCTCAGGAAGAAGTGGCCCTAGCGTCCCAACAGCGCACCAACGGTGCTTCGTGGCCACTTTCTGTTGTAGACGTAGCTTCCAGAGGGCCAGCTTCGCCGTGGAAGTCTCGGGAGTGATGTCGGGCCGCCGCTTAACGCCCACGACGAACGCTCGGTGCTTCCCGGTTAGGACGCCCACATCCGTGGCATACAGGGCGGCATCCTCCACGGTGCACCGGACCTTTTCCAAGCATGGTCGCACGCAGTCGCTCCAGGCCGGCGTCCGCGAGAACCGTACTCGGCATTCCATGAGCAGGAGTTGCGCCCGAGGAGCGGGTAGGTCCCGAGGATTTCCGTCGCCTCGCGCGCGGCAGTCTTTCCCTGGCTGTAAGCGTTGTATCGGCGGCAGACATTGCCGATGAGCACCTCCGGTCGCGCCTCCGCCAGTATGTGCATGCACTGCTGGCCTGAAAGGGGCGAGCGTACCAGGTGGATTCCCTGGCTCCAGCTCTTGACACGGGCAAACTCCAAAGTAATCCAATCCACTTCGACTGCGGCCTGGATGTGCAGGAGGCCCTGGAGCGCCAACAGTGCTCCACCGGCTCCGCAGCCGAGGACGGCAGCCCTTGGCAGTCTGGGAGCCAGGGCGGACCGCGTATCCTCGTAGTTCCGAAGTCGCTGCAGGTCACCGTCCTCCGGAGGCTCCAGCGTGAGCTCAAGAGCGCAGAAGATGGCCAGGCTCATCTCCGGCGCACAGGAAGGCTCGGTAGGTCCTAGCGCGGCGAGACGAACGCCGACGACCACTGAGTCGCCGCCACTCGGTACCAATTGTGCGCTGTGGTGCCTTCAGCTGCACCGTAGCAACTTCTTTCAGGAGTACCCAGAGTAATGTCTGCGAGTCGCGTGGACACGCACTTTCGGAATGACGTTTCCCCTGCTCCCATGTTTTGCCTTTGTTGTGCGTGCTCTGGCAGTTGTACCCTTGGTACTACCTTAAGCATTGCTTTTCGGCACGGATAAAGTTGTGAATCTGTCCTTACGATAGTGGGTACCATTGTAAAGCTCTTTTGGTTTTCGAGTTTTTTTTTGTGGGGCTCAGGATTTAGCTTGTGGGGTGCTGAAAATGACATGATGACCAAAGGAGCGTATAACAATAATAAAACAATAACATTACATGAATACTCACAAAAGTGGGAGGCTTCTCCATGCCGTGTGTTGTGGGATTAACGTCTCTGCCAAGACGCCTTACTCCCCGCGGCGCAGCATTCCGTCGTTCATACGCGAGCGCGACAACATCCAACGCTTCAAGCTGACGTGACCACCAGAACTACACCGTCTGCGACCCGTCATCCTCATGAACCAGCAACCTCAAGACGGACAGCACCTACCCAACCCTGGGGCAGCTCCACCTGCCCTTGGACATCTCAGGGAAGGCCCGCCGCAGCCCCCCCTGCCACCAGGCCCTCTGCCGTCCCTACCGCAACAGGGTGGGCCCGCGGGGCCCCAGCAGCCCCCTCTGCCGCCGCCCCCCCCCGCCGCGGCCGTTGGGGTGCTCTACGGCATCGAGCAGTTCCGCACCTACCTGCAGCACCGGAGGTTCACGCTCATCACCACTGCGCCGCCCTGACATGGTTGTTCACCAGCCAGAACCTGTCATCCAAGATGCACCGGTATTTGCAGCGTTGGATGTTGTCGCGCTCGCGTATGAACGACGGAATGCTGCGCCGCGGGGAGTAAGGCGTCTTGGCAGAGACGTTAATCCCACAACACACGGCATGGAGAAGCCTCCCACTTTTGTGAGTATTCATGTAATACTATTATTTAATTATTGTTATACGCTCCTTTGGTGTCATGTCATTTTCAGCACCCCACAAGCTAAATCCTGAGCCCCACAAAAAGAAACTCGAAAACCAAAAGAGCTTTACAATGGTACCCAATCGTAAGGACAGATTCACAACTTTATCCGTGCCGAAAAGCAATGCTTAAGGTAGTACCAAGGGTACAACTGCCAGAGCACGCACAACAAAGGAAAAACATGGGAGCAGGGAAAACGTCATTCCGAACGTGCGTGTCCACGCGACTCGCAGACATTACTCTGGGTACTCCTGAAAGCGGTCGCTACGGTGCAGCTGAAGGCACCACAGCACACAATTGGTACCGAGTGGCGGCGACTCAGTGGTCGTCGGCACCCCGCGGGTGGCGGCTCGGGTGGATGGTGCCCTCGCCCAGCAGGTGTTGTACGGTGCGCTCTAGGTGCGCACGCCAGCGCACACTGCTGTCTGGGTCGCCTTGAGGTGTAAGATTGATGACGCGGTAATCGACCACTGCACGGTCGCGGGGCTGCAGCGAGTCGATGGGGTCCAATTGCCCATTGGATTGACCGCCAAGGGGGGCACCCACGGGTCAGTGGGGGGGACGAAGGCGGCGTCCTCCGGCTAGTGACTGCTGTCGCTGCCTTCGTCCGCGGTGACGGAGGCGGTGTCGGCGTCTGATATGATCTCGTCTTCCGATTCAGAGGACAGCGATGGGGGCCCTTTGGAGTCGGTCGAGTTGTCGTCATCATGAACGTAAGGTTGCTCGGGGTCTTGGTGGTTCGTGTTCATGTTGTAGTCGGCACTGTGGTGCGGCAGTGTGGGTCCTGCTTTTGTGGTCAGGTTTTGTAGTCAAATGGTTTGTTCCTGGACGGTGAAGTGTCTTGTGGGTTGATGCCGGTTTGTTGTGTGGTCATGTCCGGTTTGATCGCGGCATGCCGCGCGTGTTTTGGGGTGAGCATGGTTGGTTTGTGGATTTTTTGGGTCGTTGGGGATTGGTGTCGGCGTTGTGGCTTGGTTCAGATGGCAGGGAGCTCGTGGCGGCACAATCCAAACGGTAACGACGCTGAGGGCGTCCCTCACCTCTCCACGGGGAACAGAAACAAAACCAACGAAAATAAAACAGGAGCCGCGACGGTGGTCGCTACCGCGAAGTGTCGGTGAGTGCCTCCGTGGCCAAGCGCACGCTCTCACTTGTGACGGCAGCGCCCGCGCCCGCTGGCAGCAACCTTACCCGCAGAGGGCGGCTCTCCGCAAGCGGGCGCGAGCGGCAGCGGCTGCCCCCGCCGCTACGCCCCCCCCCGAGCCGCTGCACCCTCCAAACGGCTCAAAGGAGAACAGCACCGGCGCACGGCGCAGTCCGACAATACGCGGGAGGAATAGCTTTAGTAGGCCCTCCAGGAAATTC